ACATCCCTTCCTCACGATTTTGGTTTTTTGTACTTGGATCGCTGGTGAGACTGCCGAGTTTCATTTCCGCTGCGCCATGGGTGCGCTGACAGTCCCAACAGAGTGTGCTTTGAGAAGCTCAGTATTACAGAACTACCAAATGATGCTGAAGGATATGCATATAATAGGCAAGGAATATTTTCATTATTGATTTAGTCATCTTTAGATTTTTGTGATGAGTTGAGGTCCCGCTGATATGTCAATTAGTAAAAGATAGGAAGCTTACATTTTAAAGAAAATGTTCGGAGGTATAGGTTTAGGAGATCAGAATAGGGCATGTCTTTTTAAAACAAAAACAATTTAAAATGTATTTTTAAAACCATAGTAAAACCCTCTAACCAAACACCAATATGCAGTTCTCCAGAACAACATCCATAAGGACTTACCCTAGGCCCATTAGGTATAGGTGCCAATCTAAGGGAACACTTAGGTCCATATGGTCTTACCCTAGCCGAAGTGTAGGTGCACACCTGAGGGGAGTGACCTCAGGTTCATAAGGACTTAACCAAAGCATATAGAAAAGGTGCCACCCTAAGGGAGTTCCTTAGGGTCCATAGGGTCTTACCACTAGGCCCATTAGACCTAGGAGCTTACCCGAGGGTCACCTTAGATCCATAAAGAATTGCTAGCTCGATTGGTTTGAACCTATATAGGGAATTACCAATTTGACCGAGCTGAACCTTCCGTAAGGAATTACCAGTTTGATCGGTCTCAACATATATAAAGAATTAACAGTTTGATTGAGTTGAACCTTTAGAGACTTCCAAACATATCCCAGAGTACCTCGAAGAAAAACATTTCTCATACAGTAATCAGTGGTAGCAAGAAATCAGAGTTCAAACATATCAATTCTATAGAAACAATATCCAGAGATCATGAATTAAACAGGCAGACTTAAAACTTCAGTAACTCATAAATCTCGGTAAAACACATTTTAAAACAGATAAAAAATCATATAGCACATAGGGAACACATTAGAGGATCCAATTATTTTTAGAATGTACTGGTATTTATCACGTAGGCATCAATGAAACTTCAATAAACTTATTAAATTTAGAAATAAGATCCCTCTTAAAGGGTTTGATAGTTGACGAATTCATCAGTTATTTCGGACGTAATTTATCAAGATCATATAATATTCAGATATTTTTTGAAAACACTAAGTAATCAAAAAGGTATTTGGAATATCTTGCATCATAGTTACTTGTGATTTCAAATATGACATGAGTGTTTCCATTATTAAGAAATCAGGGACAATTTGAACATTAGGTTCCTGGAGGATTCTTAGTAGTTTTATCCAATAAGGGAGAAACGATGATTCATTGTATTTACAATTCGTGTCTATTTATCAGGATATCGATGATTCATTGTATTTATTAGGGAGAAACAATGATTCATTGTATTTACAATTCGTGTCTATTTATCAGGATATCGAGTTAACTTGAACTAAACAAATCTTATAACGTTGATACCTATCAACTGGTCAGATCGATACACTTCAAGGGTATTCACACTTTATTACTAATAACTCTCGTTGAACTGATCATCTTTAAAATCATCGTTGAATGGATCTTAGGGAGATGAGCATTCATTTAGTCATTTCGTGACTTGGGGTTACCTTAGGTCATTTACACTTTAGGGGTATTTTGGTCATTTTACAGTTCAAGGGTATTTATTCATTTTCTTGATTCAAACGTATAAATCATTCTAGTAATTTATTTATTAGGTGGTTTTGTCCAAAAATCACCAAATCTAAATCTTTTACCATCTTGATGGTTAGAAATCGGTTATCCAAGATTTTTAAGCAAAACTAGCATTTTTCCATGTACATCAGTAGTTCCTTCTGATCAATATGCCTTTATGGAGTTATTTTTCCATTTTCAGTGACAATTCTTATCCTTTATATAATATGAGGGTATTTTCATAATTTTACCCTATAAGGGTATTCTCATAATTTTACCTAACAGAAGTATTGTCATAATTTCTCATCCGAATACCTTTAGCATTTAACCTCTAAGGAGATAAAACAAAATTTAAAGATCCTGAGGTTGATTGCTTACAATTTAATCACAAAACTTGTAAATTTAATTCCTATCGGTATCCCAATTTCTTATATGAGTCATCTGAGTCATATTCAGATACAAACTTTTTATTGTATACGGATTGAGTTTATAAAAAAAATTTCTATATAGATGAGACCAAACATATTCATCCATGCATTTACCAATTCCAACATGTTTCATAAAGCATGTATAAAGTAGTAATGTATTACCTCAATTTTCGTGCTCCACAGATCAAACATTTAAATTCCATTCAAACACTTTGGAACTTCAATCCAACGTCAAATAATTTCATGGATACATAGCAAACAAATTTACGTCAGAAATTGAATGCATTCAAAAACAAATTGAATCCAAAGATAAAACACTGAAAAATGACTTACCGAGTACGAATTTGGAAAAACGAACTTCGAATTCAGACTCATGACGTCGAGAAATATAAAATATGACTTTTTATAAAATTTAACTTTTTGGGTCAAAGTCAACGGTCAATGGTCAAACCGGTCAACTGTCAACGGGTCAGGTCAAAGTAAACGGGTTGGTCGGGAAGACTTAGTTCATGTAAAAGTCATCGAGTCAGGTTAAACAGACCCGATTCAGATTGGGTTGGCTAGTTCAAGCCAGTCCAGACCGACTGGACTGGTTTTAGAAGGTTTACAGGCGGGCAAAAGAAGCTCATGCACATGCAGAGGTGCATGACGACGGGCTCAAGGTGATCAGTCGATTACTCCTATAGCTTCAATTAACCAAATAAAATCAATATTCAACCAAACATCAACCCAAAATCCATCGAAAATAAAATAAAAAGTCGAAACACTTAACCACAATGGCGATCGACATAATTTACAACGTTGACGCGACCCACCAGTCGAGTTTTGAGTGGAATATGTCGGGGAAAACGTTGGTGATGGTGGTGAGGCAAGACAGTTGTCGGATCGGTCGAAATTGATGGAAAACTAAGCGATCAGGGTAAGATTTTGGGGATTTTTCATCATATGAAAATCCATCGATTCTTGGTGATATGAGACGTTTCACGGTGCAACAATACTCGGGCTTTGGTCACCAGTAGACAACGTGTACAATGGTAGCGGTGGTGGTTGATTGGTGGTAGGATAATGATGAATTTGGGGTGGAAAAGGGGAGGGACGCGATTGACTAGGGATTTTGGTTTTAATTTGGGGATTTTTACTCGATCGAGAAGGGGTTTATTTTTCACTAACCAAACAAAATGCTAAAATTCAAGGTTAAGTCCATGAACTTCCCATAAATCCAAAAATCGAGTTACAACTTTTAAAAATTTACAATGTGGTCCTCAATATCTCCCTTGTTGACTTTAATTCGATACATAAAATTATTATAATCTAACCCTTAAATTGGGGTGTGACAATTACAATTGTATCATCTAATTAAAAATAGCCTATAGTTATTAGACCAATGAAAAATCAATAAAAAATATAGCTAATTTATGAATATTAACATTTGTTAGGTTGAGGATTTAAGGGTCCTTTAGTAAAAGAATAGATTTTAATTCTTAAGGACCTGGGTCCGAGCACCATAGATGTGAGGGGCGTGAGCGTTCAATGTCATAAGGTTGAGAGTTTTCTTTGAACATATATTATCTTGTACTTACCATAGATTAATCAAAAAATATAAGTGTAAATATAATTTAAATGCTATATTTTTTTATTTACAACATAATATCTAAATGGATATTGTTTATTTTCAAACTCACTTTTAAACAACAACCTCAAATAATTAAATTTAATATACACTTTTATACAACACCTTTAAAAGTTTGTTTCTAAAATACTTTTAAAAGTTGTTTTTTCAAAAGCTATATCAAATTCAACCTAAGCCTTGTGATTAAAAAAAATGAATATGTTGAACCTATTTTGATATAACAATTTTAAAGGAAAAATGTTTTTGAACTAAATTGAATTTATTCAAAGTTTTCAAAAATAATTCAAAATCTATAAAACTTGAATTTGAACACAAAAATGATTTTCTAGGAAATAAGTATCGATAATGTTCATACAATATTGATACTGTTCTTGTACTATTGATACCCAATGTAAGGGAAGTATCGATACTCTCATGGCAGTATCGATGTTGCTTATCTGTTTTAAATATGTTCAGATTCTAGTAGGCATTTTTGGTACCGATCCTCAAAGGAGTATACAAAATGGCTAGTTTTTAGTGCAGTATCGATACTCCAAGCCTGAGTAACGATACTCTCTGATCTGGGCAGTTTTATTTTACAGTAATTAAGTCCCCAAAAGCTCCAAAATATCTTCAACGGCTAGAAATAGTCACAAACACATTCCAACATATAAAATGAAGTTCAAGACACTTGAAGAAGGTTACACAACACCTATCCAAGCATTGATCATCAAGAGAAAAGCTCTCATTCTTTATTCTTCATTTTTTCTTTTAAATAGTTTGTTTTTAGTGAGCTTAATTTGTAAATACCTTCATTTCAGAGGTTTCTTGTTTACATTCTTTTTACCCTTTTGGAAAAATGGTTGGCATCAAGTTTAGCCATTAAAAACTACGGAGTTGTAAAATGTTACTCTTGAACCTGAAAGAACAAATTCGTGAATTTGTGCAAATTTTCTATCTATACTCTCCATACTCCCAAAATATTTTTATTTAGCCAATTCACCCTCTCTTAGATATTTTTTGTTGATCAAATGAGCAGCATAGATCCCAATAATTGGTATCAAAGAAGGTCATAAATCGACAATTTAACAACCTTGTGAAGATCCTTGAATCTCTCTATCAATTTCTTACGCAATCGAGAAGATGACTACAACATCCAGCGCATACTACCTTGAAGACTCACACTCCATTCATAGGCCTCCTTACTTCAATGGTGACAACTATTGTTATTAGAAGAATAGGATGATGTTGTTCATCCAAGCCATCAACTTTGCGGTTTGGGATTCCATCGTCGACGGTTCTCTTGTTCCTCCAAGAAATCGAAAATATTTAACCAATGAAGACAATAAGCTTGTCCAACTAAATGCCAAAGCCATGCACATCCTCTTTTGCGCACTTGCTCCAGAAGAATATAGTAGTGTATCTTCATGCTCTAATGCTATGGATATTTGGGACAAGTTGGAGGTGACTCGTGAAAGAACAAGCCAAGTAAAAAAGTCCAAGATTGGTATTATCACTCTCAACTATGAAAATTTCAAGATGAAGCCCGGTGATAATAAAACGATGTTTGATCAGTTCACTTTAATCATAAACGAGTTAAAGAACTTGGGGAAATTTTATCCAAATGAAGATATAGTGATAAAGATGCTTGTCTCGTTGCCTACATCATGAGAAGGAAAAGTAATCGCTATTGAAGAAGCCAAGGACTTGGAGTTGTACAACCTTGATGATCTAATCAAGTCTTTACTTACTCATGAGGTGAAACTATAAAAGTAGAAGGAATAAGAAGAAGAAGAAGAAGAGAAGAGCAAGAAAAAAAAGCAGGTGAGAATCAATTTCAAATCCACCTAAAAGAGTAATCAAGACTCAAGTGAAGAGGTTGATAAAGATGAAGAGATGGGCAAGCTCTTCAAAAGATTCAAAAAATTCATGTCTTCCAAAGGAAAATAAGTGAAGCAAGAATCGATTAAGAATAATGGTTCCCTGGTGTGCTTTCTGTGCCAAAGAACGAGACATGTCAAATATGAATGGCCACGTCTAAAGAAGAAGGGATCAAGAAAAAAGAAAGCATTTATGGCGACTTGGAGTGATGAAGACAACTCTAATGATGAAGTAGCCAACTTATGTCTCATGGCCAATTAAGAAGATTCAAGGGTAACTTATAACTCTAATGATTTAAAATCTTATTCATTTCAAGAGTTGCAAGATGCCTATGATAAGTTGTATTTAGAATTTATTCAGATAGTCTTGTGGATCTGAAGATCGGGTTTTGAAATTGAAATTGAAGGTTTTAATTAAAATAATAAAAGAATTTAAAATTTAAAATTTCAATATCAAAATAGTAATAAAACTGAAATGTGAAAGATAAAATTTGAGAGAATTCTTTCTTTGAATTCAGAAATAAGGTTGTGCCTTTCAAAATAAAACTAGAGCCTTTTATAGAGAGCTCCACACTCTTGTTACATTTGGTTCCAACTAATGGAAATGACTAAAGTTGCAATAATTCAAAGCAATACATGGAAAATGACTAAAGTTATAATAATTCAAAGCAATATTTAAAATGACAAAAGGCTAGTCTATAATTTATGTGACACCCGTCCTTTTTCATTGTGATGGAAACACAATTTGATTGTTGGCACATTGTTTCTTCAATTTTTTGAATTATCATGGCACATCTTGTCCTGTTGTTGCATGTAATCTTTCATCTATTTCCCACTTTTGAATTATCATGGCACGTTATTCAACATGGCACATTACTCCATTTTATCTTGATGTTGCAGAGAATCTATCATCTTCTTTATACCTTATTATTATTATTATTATTATTATTATTATTATATATTGTTTTTTCAATTTTTACTTTTTATTTTCGGTCTTGATTATATCGGTGGTTGTTGTATCTTCTGATAGATCCACCATTTTTTATTGACAATGTTTGTGAGTATTCTCTTCCTCTTTATATTCAAAACTCATTAAACTTAGCATTTTTGCCATCAATTTCTTATGTTCCTTCTTGGTTTTTTGCTTGAGCTGATATTGTACTAGCATTCAATTTTGCTTGTAGAAATCTTGTTGTTTCCTTGTCCATAGATGTTGATTTGTAAATACTTGGATTTTTGGCAAAGAAATTATCCAAATATTTGGAGTCATATTTTTCATCATTGAACTTGTCCCACCATTTGGTCTTAAAGACTCAAACCAAATATGGAATCCTTAGATAGTCACCGGGCTCATATTCATAGCTCCAGGATACAATCCATGAGATGCACATTTTTCAAAAAAAATGGATACTTGGGTAAAGGTTTTTTTGGTTTAATTTGGGTTGGTATTTGTTAAAAAAACTTGGTCCAAAGGTCTTGGATTTTGGGGGTAATATTTCAAAAGATGGTCCATACCAATTCCACCATTCTTGAAACCAATTGGGAAATTTATAATATGAATCATATTTGAAATATATGAGCAATGAATGACACATACGTTGATTGTTTGTAAAAAAATATTGTTACAAACTAGGTTGCACGGTAGTCCCATTTTGTTTTTACTTGAGATGCCATCTCATATGGATCTTGAGCATCTTGGAGTGATGCCTCTGTTGAATATTTTAATGAATAGGTTTCCTCATATGCTTTTGGAAAATTTTGGACCAGGATTTAGTTGGTTTTTATGAGATTGGGTTTTTTTATTGTGCTTCTTCCATTTATCCTTTTCCTTTATCTCTCAATTTTGGGGGCATTTTTTTTAGGATTTCCCTGGTGGAGAAATCAAGTAAAGAATTATATTATCCCTTAATATATTCAATTTCAAAATCAAATATACTTAAAATTGCTTGCCATCTTGCAAAAATCTGTTTAGAAGTAATATTTTGAACATTTTTTTGTAAAATTTCTTTTGCTGATTAACAATCAATTCGTAAAAGAAATTTTTTATTTAATAAATCACTTTTAAGTTTTGTAATGCATAGGACTATTGATAAATTGTTTTTTAATAGTAATATAATTTTGCTGAATTGGATTCCAGTGCTTAGATGTGATCTGCAATATTTATTCTTTTCCATTTTTGATTTGTTTTAAAATTCCTCCATATCCTAATTCTGAAGCATCTATTTCACCTATCTTTGGGCTTGTAGGATTTTCTAAGTCCAGGGTAAAAATCAATGTCAATTCAAACTTCCTACGAATCTTTGTAATTGGATTTTTTCTAGAATTTGGTTTGGAAATTTGATGGCGAAATCTATGGATCTTTCTATTGGGGTAATAATTCCTTGTAAAATATAATGACCTTGGATTTTTTTTTTAAATAAACTTACTTTAGATTTGGAGACTAATAACCCATTATTCTCAATTATTTTTATGAAGATATTCAAGTGTTTATCTAAATTTTCTGAAAATACGATTACATCAATAATATATACAATTGTGAATTGGGAGTATGGACTGGAAATGTCATTAATAATTCTTTGAAATTCAGAATGAACCTTCTTTGAACCAAACAACATTTCATTCCATTCATATTGTCCAAATGGAACTGTAAAAGTCGTTTTATATATTACCTATTCTTTTATTTGGATCTGTCAAAATCCTGATTTCATATCAAATTTTGAAAAAAAATATTGGCATTACAAAGTTTTTGTAATAAGTCTTTTTTATTAGGAATTGGATATCTAATCCACTTTAATTCTCGGTTTAGAGATTTATAATTAATAACTACTCTTGATGTTATTCTTTCTAGTTCTGCATTTTTTATAGCATAAAAAGCTGAACAACTCCAAGGACAACTACTTTTTCTTATCAGGTTTTTATTGAGAAGATATTGTATTTATTTTTTACAAAATTCTTCCATTTCTTTATTCATCTGAATTGGTATTGCTTTTGTAGGAATTGGTCTTTCATCAAGGTTATTTTCATAAGGAAATATTAGTACATGTTTTGTAACACCTATTTCTCGTATAAAACCACGTAGACGAGTCATAGATGTCACATCAAATAATCAAAACATTTATTAAACTAAAATAGGTAAAATCTTAATTTCTTTCACCAATTCAATATTTGAATTCCTTTTATATAATTTATGGTGATTTTCTAAACATACTATTCAGAACACAAATCTACGCAGATTTCACCAATTTGCATTTTCAGCTTATTCACTAATTCTATTAACTCACAAAATGCACATCTATGCATAACACACACATATCACATAGCAATTAGGAGTCACTTATGACCATAGTAACTCCGTCATTTGCTCATCGCAAGCCAATATTTATTTAATGGAATAAGTACAAATTAAATTTGCACTCAACTAGTGTCCTTAGCTTGCAAAATTCCCTTAGGATTTCACATTCCATCTTTAAGCTTTTCCTTATATTTTATAATATTTAATATTTATTTCAAGTACACAATCTAAATTAGCATAATTATGAAACATATACAAAAATGGGCAGCACATTCTGCTTAAAACAGATTATGTCAGTCAACTTTGAAAATTCATCATAAATTGAACAAATTGAACTATAATGAGTTTTTTTATATAGATAGATTCTTATTTGATTCTAGTTTACATTGGTATAAACATAATAATTTTTAAAGGTTTAAATTAATATTGAATAATAAGTCTACCTTATTTACGTTGGCAAGATATTTATGATATTAATCATATATTTGACATATTCTAATTATGTCAAAGGTTGAATATAAAATGAATTGATCACTGATCATTACATATGATGTATATCATGAACGTTTATTGGTATCAGGGCTGCAGGTTTAGCTGATTCTAGGGCTAAACCAAACTTGATTTGAGTCAAAAAGTGTATACATGCCAATAGGAGGTCATTGTTACTGATTTGGTGATTGTAATATTCGATTAATGTCACTCCTTACACATAAAGGTAAATAAATGTAGTATATGTATAAGATGTGTAATCAAGGGTTTAAAGTACGTGATCGAGTAGGAGGTTTAAAAATAAACTAATAATGCTAGTAAGGCCCTAGCTACAATAGTCATGTTTAGTCTAATAATGATGATGCATTAACACAATAGGAAGTGAAAATGTAAGTTTAAGAAAACCCTCGTTCATGCATATAATAATCTTGATAGAAAAATGGAACATTCTGATAGAATTTATCCTAAGTGATATGTGTGCGACTAACCCTTTAGGCCAGAGTGCGAGGGTCAGTCGTATTTGTAGATAGTAATTGTCTGGTAAGGATTTAACATGTTGATTTATAATAGACTTGATAGAATTACCTTTCGAAGGTAATTTTTGGAATGGATTGATTACCCTAACATGTTGGAATAAATTGCCACTTAGAGCGATTTAATTTTATAGAACTAGAAAAGTTTTGAGATATTTGTGGTAGGGGAAAAGAGTAAATTTGTTTTCTAATGTGATTTTAGCATCAGTTGCTATAAAGTTATTGCTACTAGGTTGTTAAACCTTGTTCGTAAAGGGGTGGATACTCAAACTTTCTTAGTTAAGTTGGAAGATATTCCAATTGTTCGAGGGTATCCAAATATGTATTTGCAAAAGTTACTTGGATTACCTCTAGATTGAGATATAGAATTGAAATAGAGATGATGTCAGGTATTGTATTTATCTTTATAGCTTTATATCGAATGGATCTGACTGAGCTTAGAGAATTAAAGGCATAGTTAGTAGAATTGTTAAGACC